CTTGTCAAGTAACCAGACGAATAAACTAACTTGGATAGCAAATTCAATAGCAGTAAATGCCACAGTTCATCCTCGAACGTAATAAATGCAAACATTCGAAAGAGAAGTAAAACTATTCAACTGAAAAGTTAGAACAAGTTTTCGATTTAGCCGCCTAGAACATTTTATAATGTACTTTTGTGGAAATGGTAGCCTCAAGACCATCAGTATGAGAAACCTGTTCCTCAAACAAATAATTCGATTGCGAAGCACTTCACCAAAATTAAATGTTAAAGGGAAAACAATATTTCTGAAACTGCCGTTTTTTTTTCTATATCTCGTTAAAATTTTTTGCTTTGGTTACTTATCTATCAGTTAAATGTTTTTCTAGATAAAACCGGATTTTATCACAATACAAAAGAAAAAAAGGAAAAATATTAGCATTTAATCCTATAAGAAATTTTCCTTATTTCATCTGGATATAATAATAATAATAATAAATTCTAAATGCATTCGATTTTTACTAGAAAGTATTGAATTCCTTCTCCGTTACACAATTCAATTTCCAAAACCGATTTATTGAATTTTTACTTGGAAATTCTTCAAGATAAAAAAAATACTCTTCCGGAACTATTTTCATCCTTATTAAAAATAAACAATTGATGAATATTAGACAATGAAGAGTAGAATGCATTTCTCACATTTTGTAAATGAAGAAAGGAACGAATCGCGTGAGAAGTATGATAACACGTCAGACAGAAGTCAGTGACCCTCTACAGAAGGACATTGGGATATCGATCTTCACAACCACATAGGGATCTAACATCTTCCGTTTATTCAAGTTATTTTAGCTATAATCATATCAGTTATATAACGTTCCTTTACAAAACTATCATGAAAGGTCAGACAAACGAATAAAACCTGGGTAAAGAAAAGGAAAGCGGTATTAGTTTTCTCTTAGGAAGTGAATATCATCATGAAATTGTCACTAGTAATAACTTTTACTATCTGAGGTAGTGCATTATATTTTCCACGATAGTAAACCATTGTGTAGAATTATTTGTAAGAATATCAATTTTCTTTTATCATCACGAAAATCATTTTCTTTACATTACAATAAAACATTTTGTTAAACTTTAATATATTTATTTTAAATATTGACGAGAAATATAACATTTTAAGCATTTATTTTAATGAGCCAGTTGATCAAATAAGGCCTAACACGTTTAAAAGTGAAGAAGTGTAACAGCAATGATCGAGTCAGATATTTATTGAACTATAGATAAATATATAGCTGATTAGTGTTATTTTTCAGCTATATGCAGACTGAAAGTGTAATATTAAAAAACATACTTCATATTGGACGTTTTAGGAACACTGTTCTAAAAAAGATCCACTATTGAAATTCATTGGCTTATATTAATTTTTGTTGTATACTGGGCAAATAAACACATCCACATCCTCAGACTGATAACCTATTCACTCAGCATAAACCCATTGTCGATTTACATTAAAAGGAGTTTGTATATTGTTGATTTCGGAAGCACAATGTCTAAGTCTTTTGGGAATCAGGGAAACTCCAATGTATGAAAAACTCAGAATTCGTTGTGTATCAACTCTGTTCCTGAGCTACCGACAGTAGTAGTCTTTCTGCCATTCTCGCATCCGTTCTACTTGTTTTTAAATGATTTCCTAAAGTTCTATGAGGAATGCTAAACCCGCTAGTTACGTTTCTTTCACTTTCTTCTTTTTTCATAGCATCCAGGACCTTGGACATATCCTCAGGAGTCTAGTTCCCTCTTTTTTTTTTTCCTGTAGCAGACAAGTTATTCCTAGAAGAGCAAATTTGCTATAACAAGTTTCCAAATTTTATATTATTCCTATTAAGACTCATTATTATTGCGGTGGGCCTTATTAGAAACATCCATATAGTGCCCTAAATAACGATAATATATCTTATCCCTAACGAATATGGTATGTCTCCTTTTTTTCACATATATATACGACTACCCTTCCCTTAACATTATCCACAACCCTGATATTTTATGATTCCCCTCCTAGATGTATTACAAATAATTTTCCCAAAGATATTTTTATAATAGCCTGCCAAGACTTTTTTGAAAATGTAGAAAATCGCTTATTCCTCTAACAACAATGAAACTTGCACACAGCAATACTGCAGTATCATTTGCTGGTTAGCAGCGGCGTAACGTGTTAATACTTCATCTGAGCCTTATTAGGATAATATACCTTATATTTTATATCTATAAAAAAATAAAATAAATATAAAAAAGAATTTAGAATATATATCATGTTTATAACACCTATAAAAGGGAATGTCTAATTATAGAATTAGAATGAAAATATAATTTTAGTTTCAATGGTATTTTACGGGTGATAACTGTAATATACTTATAATGAATTGCCTCATTATTACGATGCAATTTATTATGCGGTAAAACGTATAACTAATCATTTCGTAAAATTATGACTTTATGATATTAATATAAATTCAAAATGTAAGGAATAAAAATTAAAACAAGGAAGGAAAAAAAATTTCTTGTAGATTAGTAATTTCTACATATTTTCATAATGGGATATATTAATAAAAATATATTTAAAATAATTAAAACACATGTTCATGCATTAATTTAAATTTTGAAGAAAACTAGTTTATAATTCTCCCCATTATAGAAACATTGCAGGCCTATTGTTTATATATTAATACAATATTCATGAAATAAAATGGTATGTGCTGTTTTTCAAATATTATTATCTGTTAAGCGAAAACGTGTTTCTTACTAATAGAGGCATAAGCATACGTATTACACAATCGCAATTATTACATAAATCTATAAATACAGGTTTGTTTGGTTTGATGGGATACGGCAATGCAAAATATGGGCAATCTGCCAAGGGAGATGCTTCCGGAAGAACTTTCCATAGGAAAGTGGTCGCCATTTAGATATTACTCACGTGAAGTAAACCCGAAAAAGTGGTCATGGCCATCCTGTCGGTGAGGCGTGAACCCACGACCAATGTTCGGTACTGGTAGTTGTCGTGGGTTCACTCCTCGCAGATTGGTCAAGGATTTTTATTTACCCGCCACTGGTAGACAAATATAACTCATACAGTAACAGACTAATTGACTAAGTAATTATTAAAAAATCACTCTTGCCATTTTCTCCGAAGTAATTCCTAAACAAACAGTTTATACCAAGAAAACTATCGATTGTATAAGTTATTATGATAAATTTATTAAATTAATATTTATTTATCGTTAGTGGAACGTAATGTCCGGGAGATAATTTATTCGCAATTTACTTCAATCAGTCGATGTAACATATATTCCACCAGTTTGCTCGTACACGAGACATTTGGAGTGTGCAGCAAATCGGGTAATATCCCATAATCATTATTAGGAGTCGAAACAGAGAATCGCCGCAGGACATCAGAAACGAATTCTGTCTGCATCACTGATGGAACTTGCACCAATAGCCGCATCTGCACAGCTGGGGAGATAAATCTTGGGATTGGAAACACATTTCTATTCACGACATTTTATTATTATTATTTATTTTTTTAAGAATTTCATTTCATAATTTTACATTCGTTTAGTTCCAAACACAAATGCCCTTAATACGATCCAATATTTCTTATTTTAACTGTAAGAGCGAGAGAGGTAAGGTTAAGGTTTCTGGACCAGAACAAAGCTCATAAATAAATAAATTTTTATAATCGTTTTTTCGATTATTTTATTTATTTATTTTATTTTATCTTGTCTGTTATGCGAAAAAATGATATAAAAGTTTATTACTTATCAGAAAGAATCTATTAATAATTTTAATGGGGAAAATATCCGAAATTATAATTTAAACGAATATTTAAAATATAATAATGAGACAGATAGAAGAAGAAATCGATTAAATGCTCCTATTTAGAAGAAGAATACACTAATTGGAACTAAAATAATGATGTGAATTAAAATTGTATATATATAATTTCTTAAAGTATTTTTTTTTATATTTTCTTCGTTGCATTTCGAAAAACCTTAAGGGCCTTTCGATAAAAGAAAGAATCGATTCCAAAAAACAACAGATAAGTTATTGATGAGTATGTACACAGCAATCAATATTTACGTTATGTTTACAGAAAATATCGATTTTACAAAAGAAACAGAAAAAAAATCCATCAATGTAAATCACAATTAATAATTTTTTAAGTTCATAAACTTAAAAAAAATATTTGTTACAATTAAGAGCTTCAAATATTTTTGAAAAGGTTTCATAATTCTTAATAAAAGATTCTTAAAGAAAATCATAATTTAATTTTAAAATAGTAGTATAATTGATAATTATTAAGTTTAGAAAATTAATAATTGAATTTTTAAAATTATATTTAAAAGGAAGACGATAAACATTAAAAATAAAGCGATAAGTTAAATTTATGTTTTTCTTTCAGTCAAAAAATAACAAATATACGAAAAATTCTCACTATTTTAACAAAATTAAACACACTTTTTTTTTAAAAATCAGTGCTCAAGTTGAATATAGGCGTATTTAAAGAAAGATTTTTTTTCAACATCGGCATTTTCTTCCCTTTTTTTTAAATTTTTATAAGATATGATTAGAGTTAATGACATTAAAGTGCATTCTCCTGTTAATTTCCCTTCTTCTAAGCATCCTTAGCATATTTTAAACACTTTCTCAGCTTCGTAGTTGCATAAATATGCGTGCAAAAACGTTTCAATAATAAAGACTTATAACTTCAAGAAAGAAAACATTTCGATTTTTTTTTCTGGAGTCATTAATGTAATTAGGAGAGATGAGAATTTTAAAAACCATTAAAATCTTCTGTCGTCTTTTGCTTCTGACAATAAGATGAAATGCTGTTTGGGTCGTTATCAGAACTATCAAGCGTTATCATAAAGAGCAAAAGTATGACCTATCGTGTGTTAATTTTCAATACAAAAATTAATTTTATCGGCTTAGATTTATTTATTATTATTCATTTTTTTACAGGTAACGAAAATGTTCGAAAGAAAAGAATCTTAGTAATATAAATATTTTATTATTTTTGAGAATTTTTATTTAAAAAAACCATCTCAAACTGGAGGCCTTACTAAAGGTATCAATTTTTATATAATTTAAAATAAATATTTTAAAGTTAAAATGTTTTAAGTAAACATTTGCGCTCATTATGATATATTTAATTAATTTTGTTTTAAATTTAGATGCTTTATAGTTTAAATTACATTTTTAAAACATTAGTTCATCATCACATAAACCCACACACACAAAAAAAAAATGTTGCAGGTCTCATTAATTACTTTGTACACTATGTAATTGTGGAAAAGATATAATTCTTATAATTAAAAAGAAATTGCATTTAAAACTATTTAATAGGATTTAGATTTAAAATGCCATAAGAAAATTTTATAAGTCTAAACATATTTTGCAAGACCTGTAAGCATTATATTCGGATCATCGTCATCATCATCGTCATCAGCATCACATAATCATCATCGATGTAGGCGCGTATTTCAAGTTCAGTTAAACTGCTCTTTACGTTAGAATTTTTCGTATGTTTTTCCTTAATTATATTCAGTTAAACGAATTTAATTCTTGGAACATTTCTCCTACAATACGTTATGATTCGAAGCACGTTTACAGGGCCGGCAACGTTATCATCATCAATACAAGAGGGAATTGTTGCTGGTCCTGTTGAATTGCTTTTTTATGTAATACGTAGTAAAGCAGAGAAAGTATTTTGTTTTAACTTTAAAGGCGTTAGTGACTTTAAACAGGTTTACAGAACCAGCAACATCATTTTTCCAGAAACAGGGAGCTGTTGTTGCCGGTACTGTTGGTCTTACGTAATTTAATACAGAATAAATCAAAGAGGAAGGAACTTAATTAAATTTTAAATAGGTTAAAAGTGCAGATTTATTTAGATTTTTATGTAAATGAATTTAATGTGGAAGAATTTAGAGAATAGCTTTCTCATAGCACATGCGCGAAGCCGCATCCAGAAGGAGCGAATTGGAGAGGGAACATGCGGAAGCATTGGCTGAATTGCGGAGGAAACAGGAAGATGTCAAGTACATGCCCATATCCAACGATGCCGAGAAAAAAAAAGCACAGGAAGCAGTTCAAGCGCTTGAGGTGAATCTATTATATCGTATGTATTTACTCCATTTGTGTATCGAGTGTAACCACATCTCTCGCTGGAGATGAGAGATATAAAACACTATGAGTTTCGCATCAACATCTTTAATGAGTACACAGCAATCTGCATATAGTTCGTAAATTTTATTCATTATTTTATACAAAAAATTCATTTCTTTTGATTATTTATAATAATTAACCAAAAATAAATTATTAAATATTATTTTCAGTCCAAGGTAAGAGAATTACAAAAGAAATGTGAATTGCAAAACGTACGTCACGAAGAACTAGCCTTAGAGATGGCCACTTTAAGAAAAGCACAAGCAAAACAAGGATGGAGATCTCAACGATCCCAGTCTGCAGATGTGAGTGGCACCATCTGTTGTATAATACACGAGATAAAATGTGATTTTAACGTAATTGATAGTTGATATTGTATCTCGAAAGATTTTTCTCAGAATGTAAATGATTTAAGGTCTGAATATTGTCGCTTAAACAATAAATAGTCATATTTATCTAATATTGATAGATATTATAAACCAGATACTCTAAAAACTGTTTTAAAAAATTAAATATTGAAAATAAAATTTATCACACAAAAAAAAAATGATTTTATTTTGGTTACAGCTAACCCGAGAAATAAATTATTCGAGTCCAACAGCAGACAAATTCCTTTCCTCAGGAGAAACATGGAATAGTTCCCTTTCATCTTCGACCTTAGGACTCTCTACAACATCTTCGTCCCTTCCTTCTCTCGACTTAAATTTTCCGAGAAGTTTAGGATCGTCTTCAATTCATTCAACATCATCATTAAGGTCAACAGGTGAAATATGCTTATATTGATTTATCTCAAATTATTTCATAAATATAAAAACATAATAATAAACTTCGATATTTAATTAGGTTCACTGTCATCATCTACAGATTTTACAAGTAGCAGAACTAATTTTATGTCGACGAATCCGTTAGGATCTTCAAAGACAACTGGTTCTACTAGCAGTTTGTCACTTCATTCATCTTCGCTGTTAGATACGACGTCGCATGAAATTGATCGTATATTAGCTAGAATTGATCAAGATAATCGAATATTAGCAGAATTAGAAAAATCTAGAGCAACCGTGGGTGAGTACCTACGCAATAAAAGTTATTCAGGTTATCCTTATCACCTTTCCACATATTGACTGTAGCAGATAAGTACGATACAAATTTCATCTCTGTGAAGTTTGCTTCGTTATTATACCTTACAAGTGCTCTATAATATAAATAATATCTATGATATTCGATTGAATTATGTTTTGAAATATCTTTTTTTAGGTTCTCCCGTATCATCGGCTAATATCGAACGACTTCGAGCTCATATCGAAGAAGATAACAAGCAGTTGGAAGACCTGACTCAGCCTCTGTTTCCTTTAAGTAGGACTTTTTTAAAGATTATATATTTTTTAAGATATATTTTTTATTGGCATCGATTATGGATCGAAATACTTAATTAGTATTACTAACAATATTCATTTTATAGAAATTTGTTTTACTCACAAATAAATCTGACAGTTACACAATAGAACGACTTTTTAATCTAGAATCAATAACTTTTTCATTACTTTTTGTTAATAGTAACAAACATAGAATACATTAATTTTAAGCTTTATAAATGAATTTAACCACGTTCTACATACCAAGAAATTTAAGGGATGCAAAGCGAAAATACTATCAAAATTTTTAAATAAAAACAAAGTACCTATAATTTTCGAAGATGCTAATTTTCTAACGTCCTATCACCTATCATACAGTTCCATACAAAACAAATTCCTTCATTTTAGCCTTTTCTTTTCTCTATCTTCTGTGCTGCTGCTGTTGGATGATTAAAAAGAGCCATCATATTCATCACCAGCTATTGACCAATTATTGCATGAGCCCCATCGAATGAAACAAATGTATTATCAGCTGTCTAGACACAGATCTCCGATGAGTAAGTAAATCACGCAAATCACCCCTTATCACCAATTATCTGCACACGTACCTTTGTAGTCCTTTTAAGTTAGTAGAACAATCCAAAATCTGCAATCTGCATGTGACAAAGCATTCTCCAAGCACCTAACCTGTCGTTGTGGCCACAGTAGAAATTTTAGCATGCTGATGCGCTTAATTCCTGTTTTGTTCCCTTCGTTTATTGTACAATGGCTAAGGCTTTGAGTAGTTGGCACAAAATTCATTTAGTATTCAGCTTTAAAATAGATAAAACTGAATTAAATGTCTTAGTAAATTTCTGCTTTGCACAGTAGAAGCTTTAGTAAACTTATATGTAAATTTAATAACTTAAAAAAAATCATAAAATTTTAGTAATTGTAGCTAAAATAGTTTAAATACAAATTGTAAAATTAACAAACTTTTAATACTTTTTTTTTTAAATAGTTTTTTTTGAACTATACTTGTTTCTCAAATTTATATATTTTTCTTTCTTTCTTTTTCAGAACAATCGGTTACGGTGCAGCATTTGAATCAGTTAATGGAAAAGTTAGAACAGGATAATAAGATTTTAGCCGAACTAGACCGTAAGAGAGCTAATATTGGTGAGTGTTCAAGAGATTTCCATGAATTCAATTTATCGAAAATTCTTTAAAAGTTTTATAAAAGTTTTGATGAAAGAGTGGATGACAAAATGAAAAACTTTTACTTTTTAGGAATCAGTCCAGGATCAGTTTTTACTCCAATGACTAGCCAGGTAACGGTACCGACCATAAATGCTCCTGGAAGTAATCTTTTGTCAATGACGCCGTCCAGCAGTACGTGCAGCACACCACTTCCTACAAACACTTCGTTATTGCCGAATGTACCCACTTTTGGGGGAACTACAATGCCCACTATGTTTAACGCTCAAATAGCCAATACTTTACCATACAATGTGCCATCGATAATACAACCTACAATAACTCAAACATTTAACAGAGACGAAAATGGTAAACATGCTCTTAATTTTTCTTTGTATAATCTGATCAATTTATAAATTTGTGGAATTTTTATTGATAGCTATTACTACAGAAGACATCTTGAGAGCGGTCGACTATATAGATTTGCCTGGAAGAGGTCGATGCAAGATTTATATAGCGCGTTATAGTTATGATCCACTGAAACAGTCTCCTAATGACAACCCCGAAGCAGAATTATCATTGAATGCTGGAGATTATTTAATCATTACTGGAGAAATGGATGAGGTAACGAATCATTTGGGAAAAAATGCAATAATGTAGCTCCAATGCTTATTTCTTATTTCTTGTTAGGATGGCTTCTTCGGCGGGGAGTTATTGGATGGCAGGAAAGGTTTAGTTCCCTCCAATTTTGTGGAAAAATTGACAGGTTAGTAGTTAAAATAATTTTTAAATCGATGATAGAATAGATTTTAAGTAATCGTTTTAGAAATAATTTAAGATATTCAAACAGCCGCTGTTTCTTCCTGTTGATACATATGTTGAAGTAATCTCAAATGAACATGGCATAAAAATTACAAATAAAAAAATAGCGAAAAAAGTTGGCAGCAAGCCTGAATACAAGAATTATGTAATGAATTCTAAACTTGTCTTTCACAAATCTAAATGCTTCATTTATTTTATTATAACAACGTGTTCTATAAATCCAATGTTATTTTTTAAACAAAAACTAAGGAAATTCAACATTTTAAAATGTCAAAGTCAAAATATGTTAATTTGTCTAATAGCTATTTCAGAAAAATGGAATTATTTTAAGAGGGATTTGTAGATTGTCTGGAATGTTTCGAGGCTAATTTATTTTTCAAGTTGAGTATTTTAAAAATTTTTCATAATTTAGATTATTCTGAAAACGAAACTTGATATGATTAATTATAGGAACAATTCTATCGACTCGAAAACCCGAAGAAATTAAATTTAGTTGGTCTAGACTGATAGAAATGAAGATAAATTCTAGGCAGGAAAGTTGGATCGATGATTAAGAATTTCATTTTAAAAGATGTCTTGATAGAAGCTTAATGGGTAACTTATACAGACGCATTTAGAAAGTTTGAAAAATGTTTTATTCGAAGAAAAATGATATATTTCCCTCTTTTATAGAGGTGATAATCCTAAAATGCATATTTTATGATACATTAGCTTTTTCGGGAAAGCGCCATTGGTTTAAAATAAGAAGTCAATATGCAATTAACAACATTTGAAAGTTTTCATTAAGCAAACAGAAGAATAAAATGAAGCAGTGACAGTTTAGAATAATATAAAAATAGTAAATTGACATAAAAAAATGCAACGTAAATTAGCGTGACGGAAAACGAGTCCCGAAACGTTACTTAAAATTATTTTTAATTATAGATATACGCAGGTATTCAATATATAATAAAGAAAAAAACGCGTGATAATTATGTTAATCTGCAATTTTATGGGCATGACAGATTTAACAATTTATATAAATCAACGGTGCTAATTTCTCGCGTTATAAAATTTACATATTCTAGAGTTTAAAAATATTTCAGGTGAAAATAGATATTTAATAAGTCGTGATACTATTTTACATTAATACACGTAACTTTCACAGTTTTACATAAATTCGATTTAATCACGACAGAAAAGTTTTTAGAAATACTTTGAATTTTAATGGAAATTTAATACTATAGAGAATAACCATAAACATAGCAAGTGTAGCAATTAGCATGAATTACTATATAATTAAATAAGCATGGAGTATTGTATTATATCAAGATATAATAATAGAATAGAGTGTACGCCCAAATGTAATTATTAACAACAACTCAGCTTTAGACTTACAACTTGTATTAAATAACCATGACTATACTTATTATCAACAGATGTAAATTTTCCTGGTGTCAATTTATCATTCGTGTCGTTTATGGCTTAGTTCGTGTAGACCAGGATTCGTAACCAGCACCCAAAACGGGCGAAATAATGATAATGGATTAAAAATAGACTTTTAGGAACTATAATTACATTGCACTCTTAAATTATGCTTATTGCTAGCTACCTAGGGCTGTCCATAAATTACGTAACGTAGATACGGGTGGGTGAGTATGCAGGTAATTGTTACGATCCATTACAAAATAAAGGGGATGTTTACAAAAACACTACCGCAACGTTTCTGTAAATATCCCCCACCTCCTTGTAACGCATCTTAACAATCACTTGTATACTCATTCATATCTGTGTTACATAATTTATGAACAGCCCTTTTAAAAAATAATTTAGTCAAAAGACTTTTGGACCTCGGCAACGCACCGATTTTGTTGACTAAACTTAATGCAATTTTAAAAACAAGTTACCTTGATTAGTTCTGTTAATGGCTATCTAAAATTCTTTGCAGTTTTAGGCCGGTGGCTTAATACAGAAGAAAGACTATGACAGTTTTTTCGACGTCCACAGGACCTGATAATCGCTCGTTAAAAGCTTCAAGTATAATAACTTATTAGCCTTGAAATTAAAATAGCTATTTAACAAAGCACTGTAAACTACACGTAACAACATAGAGCATAATGATTAAGGATATTCCACTACCGGTGATTTAATTATCATTATTGAACAGTCACCGCCAGTGACATAATATTTCAATATTTGGTAATTTTTGTACCAACGGTAATGGACTAAGCATAAAAATGTCACTCATAGTTATAAAAAATTCGCACCACTATATAAACAAGACCTTCCAGAGCTTGTATGGGACCCGGGTTTAGAGTAGTCACCTTTTGCCGTTTGGTTTTTGAACAAATAAATTAAAACTCCATTGATTTTAGTTGAACAAATAAAATATGAATTTTTCTTTTTTAATAAAAAGTAGTCTTATTATTTTTATTAGTAAAAATAACGCTAATTTTATAGGGTTCAGAAACACTACGGGCCCAGGGAAAAATTCTCAGCTCCCCCTAATGATGGGTCTGGACTTATATATTATAATTGGCAGAATATAGATCACGTGTCATAGCTGAAACTTTGATTCCGATTGGCTATGTGGTGATCATAGTCACCAACCAACGTGACATCGGAAAATCACCGGATCTCTCACTACTAGTATAACACGTTCTTTGTTAGACACTTGCGACCTCCAGCGTTTTATTCAATAGTTACTCAGACTTTAAAAAACATAAAATAATTTTAATGTATAAAGTAAAACACCTAATAAATTTAACGTTTTTAATATATTGCTTACGAATAATGTCGTCAAAGTGAAGCGCGTGATAATAGATGATAATACACGTGACAAAATATACATTTATATATAAATGTAAACGTCACAAATATATTTAAAGCTTTACAGTCTTTAAACGAATATAGCCTACAGCTTAAGGCGTTTAATTTACGATACAAATTATCGTACTGTACAATGCAAAAGTGTCTAATAATAGAGCACGTGACGTTACTTCTGGTCACGTGGCCGATAAAAAATCGTTAATAAATCGGCATCTCGAAATATAATAAAAAATTTTTATAGTTTTCTGCACGTCTAGAGGTCATGAGGTTTAATTTGAGACCTCATTTGCTGAATTTGATCAATTGGAAGTGCATGAACTATGTGACTGTTAGCTTTTAAGTGTAGTCCTACAGATGTGCGTGTATGCAAAACACACAACACGAAATATAAAGTATATATAAACGATAATCGCTTATCAGGTTTAAAAAAATTGAATCTACTTGCAGTTTATATTTTATTGATTTCATCTAAATATAAATTTGAAGAATTTAAATTCTTAACCTTTGATTATAACTTTAACGACTCGAATGAGGATACAATCAAATGAGCGAAGGTTATATAGAAAAAAATATACACGAATTAAATTGAATGTTTAAATAATATAATAAAATAAGTTTAGTGTCGTGTATACAATAACGTGATCTGAATAGTTAAATCCTTACTATACAAGACATGCAAAATGTTGGTAAAATTAATCTTTGTCCACAGCGCTATCATTTACAATTTTTGTGTAAACATATATATATATTTCTCTGTCAGAAATTGTTTACATTTTTTAGATATTTTTAAAAATGAAATTTGCATAAACATGTAATAGTATATTGCACTTCCCCAGGTGAAGATCTGTTCGATTTTCAAGCAACCGTCATTTATGGTAATAGAGATTCTGATGATAGCAGCGCAAGTTATACTTTCGCACCTGATCTGGACTTATCAGGGAGTGACGATTTTCATGTGTTACCGCCAGGTGAGTAGTTGCCTCTATCAGCTGCACTGCACGCAAAGCAAATGTGTAGTGTATCGGAAACCTGCTTTATACCTCTACAGTAGTCTAGCAGATAGGTAATGCTGGTCTTTAAGTTCATAATTATCATTACATCAAATCTATGATCGATGCCCGCGTTCTGATTATTCAGAACGTTAAAAAAAACAAAAACCTTGTGACAAAACGTGTGGCTCGAATGCGATCCAGAAGAATTTTTGGTAAGCACAACCCGAAATATTTACTAATATTTTTATTAAAAATAACCAGTAAACTAAGTGTCTGTAAATGTTACTTCACTACATTACTCGAGAGCTTAAAGATAAAGTTAACTTCAAAATAGTGGTTTGGTTTGTGTTATGATGGTATGTTGACCTGAAAATTGATCTGTATCATGTCTAAAATATATTATATTACTTGAAAGTACTGTTTATATAAAATATTTAAGAAAAATAAATATGATTTTATTTTATAATATAAAGGGAAAAAATACATGATATAATAAATATTGTTTAAATTTAAGATATGGAAAAAAAAATGTCATACATATTCATTATAAAAATTTTGTTTTTAAAATTGTTTAAATTCATTAAACAGAAGATTTCCATCGGATGAATGATTACATAGATCTTGAAGATATACAAGAAGTTGATGAGGAAAATTTATCTGATTTTGAAAGAGAAGGAGAAGGACTAGGTAAATTTATAATATAATTATAAACAATAATGATTGTTTTAAATTGTAATTTGCTGTCTGTCATCATCAAAATAGTTCCTCCACCTCCTCAACGACTCATATTAGAAAGACAATTAAATAAAAGTATTTTAATTGGCTGGCTTCCTCCAGAAACTAATGTAAGCACAATAGATACATATCATGTTTATGTGGATGGAGTTTTAAAAGCTAGCGTCAAAGCCACAGAAAGAACGAGGGCATTAGTTGAAGGTGTAGATTCATTACAGGTAAGATGAAATAATTTTGATTTATAAAAAAAATTTTAATTCTGATAATAAGAATTTCTTAATTTCAGCCACATAGAATAAGTGTCCGATCAGTTGCGCCAACAGGCCATCATTCTCCAGATGCGGCATGCACAATTGTTGTTGGAAAAGGTATAATTTCTATAAGTTATTTTATTTTTAATAATGATATAATTATTTTCAGTATAATAAATTAATAGATTATAAGCAACAAATATAATAATTTAGTTATTTTCATAGATAATCAGAATGTTCCTATTGCTATTTTTACATGGTTTATTCTATACTAATGTAATCAATACAAATTGATAATCACAACTTTTACTCATTAATTAAATTTTATAATTTATTTTATTGATGTTTAATGCAAAACTGATTTTTAAAAGAAGTACTGTAAATGCTTTTCAATAATTCAATATTAACTAAAGATATGATGAAATATAGTGATTCAAAAAGGACTTTATAAATTTAAAAGAATATATAATTTTAATTAGAAGATCAACAGAATCAATTGAGGCATTAATTTATACCAATATATATCAAGTTTCATCTCAAACAGTCATTTTGATTTCATGTGAGCTATGTTTGTGATACAACAGACTTTCCATCCAAATTCAATTTCTTGCCAAACTCCACACAGCATTTCTATTGTCACTTTGGTAACTATGATAGCGATTCAAGAATAAACACTAGATCTTTCATGAAACCTCAGAGAAACCAAGAGGCATCAAATCTGGAAAACAAGGTGTCCATGCTATTGCCCTATCAGCCAATTCACTGATGTGTGAAACATTTATTGAAGAGATTTGGATATCAGCTTCTAAAGATTTCATTAAAAATCTTGCCAAGTTCAAAACTTGAATCACCATCGCAGTTACTGAAGTGATAGCAGAGGTACTGCTTCAAGTTTGAGAATAAATTGAATTCAGGTGAAGTTTGTCATATCACTAATGCAGTTCACATGAAATCAAAATAACTACTCAAGGTAAAACTTGTGTTTTGCTATAAATTAATATCTCAATCAATTCTGTAAATCTTCTGATTAAAGTTATATATGCTATCTAAGTTATAAAGTCCTTTCTAAATAATCCTGTATTTTATTTGGGGCATTTTAAATAAAGTTTTATTGATATGTTGGAAAAAATGCATCATAAAAAAATTTTATTCAAAGTTTTGATAAGTAAATTTTAAGCATTATTAGTTTCTTTATACATTTTATATTATGTAATTTAATATATTGCATAGTTTGCATTAAAAATGAATCAAAAGGTCAAGTGTATTAAATTATTCCAAATTATAATTGTTATTATAGTCTTAGCTCTAGTTTTACACAAATCATAAGCATAAATTAAAAATAAAATGGTAATCAGTTTTAAGAAATTAAATGATTCTTAAATTCCATCTTTATTAATCATAAAAATAAATGTAATTAATTTCTATTTAAAGATTAGCATAATTTTTATGTTTACAAAAATGATTTTGATCAATTTTATTATTAAATTTATATATAGATCCAAAATTCATTACTAAAAATAATCTGCTAAATCAAATTTAATATTCAGATTAAAAAAAATAATTCTTTGTTGATATTAGATGTTCCATTGGCTCCCAGCTGTGTTAAAGCTTCCAATATTACTTCAACTTCTGCAATTATTAGTTGGTTACCTAGCAACAGTAATTTCCAGCACGTTGTGGCCGTTAATAGTGTAGAACTAAGATCTGTGAAACCTGGAACTTTCAGACATACAATATCAGGTTGGTGAATTTTATCAAAATATTACCTAATTATAAGTGAAAAAATATACTATTTAACATACTTGTTTATTGTGAAATCATGTAGTATTAAACTTTTCTCTAGTAATTAAATTACCATATGGTAGTTTCTTGTTAATTTAATATGTTTTATTATTATTATTATTATTATTAATTTTTTAAAATTTATCAGTTATTTCCTTTTAAACTTTGGAATGAATTAATATATATAATTAATTTATTTTGTTGTTAATCATATTTAAATAACATTAATAAGTAATTCTGATTTTTTAAACTGTAATCATAAATGACAACGCAGTACTTAAATTTTATTTTAAAATAAAATAAATAAATGGCTTTAACTCAATTTAAATATAAATATTTTTGGCTTCATTTACCACTAAATATAATTAAAATAATATAAAACTTTCACGTGTTTATAGCTCTAAAATTAAAGAATTTACGCGAGGAATAAACAATCTTGTCTTAAATTAAATAGCAAAGATAATAAAGTTCAATTCTAAATACGTATAGGTTTGATTTCATCCTCATTATCTTTATGACGACGAACAGCACTTTTCCATTCATCTCTATCTTTCCTTTCGAATCCTCTCCTCTCATCCACTACTAAATCCTAATCGCCAACTTGCAGAATAGAGAACTCTTGTGCGTTGCTTTAGTTTCAAAACTGTTGCTCGTCTGTAAAAAGATAATTCTGATAGATTCTCATTGTTTTAGACACTTCAAAACCCATTGTAGCTGTTTTCGGAGCTCATCGAGCACCCCATCGCTATTCGTGATTTTTTCTTCTCGTCGTTTAGAGCTGCTGGTTGGAATTTGGGAGAGAAGAATTAAAATACAGTATAAATTATAAATAATAAATAGCAACCTTCCGCTATGTACTGTACAAAATATTATCGATGATTAATTATGCTAACGATGAATGTTTAAANAATTAAAACACTTATGTTTAAAAATAATATAAATTAAATAAAATTTAAAAATGGAATTAAATATTATATCTAGTAAATATAATAATTCACTTCAAAACATTAATTTCAATTATTTTAGAAAATTTTCATTATACTTTAAAATACTACTTTATTCTTTTTGACTGTCTATTAGTTATTCATGAACAGAATATAACATATCAGTATAATGAAACTAATAAAATATTTGTTATATAAAATAAAATCTACATAAATATATTATAATGTTTAATTACAATTGTTCATGTTCAAAATTAATTTACTTTAACCTTTTCAAAGTTTTCATATTGTTCTGAAACATTAAAATATGTAAATGTCAATATGTTTTATAAAGAAAAAAAATTTTATGATAGTAATAAAAACAGAAAATAATAAAATTTTAAAATAAAATATAATAAAAATATATTTTTCTTAATAAAGAAATTGATTAACAACAAGATTATTATAAAATTTAAAATAAAAATTTTATATCAGTCTTCTAGAAGCTTTTTAACTTAGTTCCTTACAGTTTTATGTTTATATATACTTTTATGTTGTTGTATATGTTTATTATATTTATATAAATGAACCACAATACACAAACACAAAATGTATGTATATATATACAGTATATTATTCTCGTTGCACTTGAGATTCCTTAGTAAAAGAGATTACAAAATAAATCAGATGTTTATGTGGAAGTATATTGGGTAGGGAAATACACTTATGATCTATGAATTGTCACCTACACAGACAATCTGTGAATATTGATTGATTGTAATGAATCTTTCTCTCATGCATGAAAATTACTAGTGACAGCAGAAAAGAGAGAGAATGGAAAAGATTTCATAAATGTGATTTATACTGTACAAGCATAAATGATTTATACAAAATAATAAATTTTGAGTTTTACTTATTCTCATGATTATTGATTTAGTAATTTATTTTCTTAAATTATTTAAAGCTGCAGTGCAGCAAACTTTATATTGTAATTATTTCATAAGTGAATGTTATAAATAGTGAACTTAAGTTCATTTAAACAAATATACGGTATAAAAACCATAAAACAAGATTTTTTTTTACAATAAAATTGATTTTATTTTTGATAAACAAAATGTAATTAATAATGTCGGAAAATAATGTAATTTTTATAAATGTGGTAAACAAAGATTATTTATTTTTTTATAAATATGTTTTAAAAAATGAACATACTGCATTTATAGGATAGATATTGGCATTTATTACAAAATGATTTTCTGATGTTTCTGAAAAATAATAAATATTTCATGGAATATTCAAAAAATGCTTTAAATGGTAAATAATCAAACTTTGAACAATTAAATTTTTTTATGTATATACATATTTCTGTTTAAATATTGTTTTAGAATTAATATAAAAATTGATATGCAATAGTTCCTAAAAACTTTTAAATATGAAATTAGGAATTAATTTTATAATGATTTTATCATTTCATTTCATGAATATTGTTAAGTAATAGAGCAATAAAAAATTCTGTAAGCTTTTTGCTTATTAAAAGTTTATTAATGAAAATTCATCATATATTAAAATGAATATCACATTTTTAACTGAAAACTTAATTAAAACAAAATCATGTTTATTTAAATCTTTTATCAATTTTTTGATATCTTTATCTCATTACTAGGGTTGTCAGGTACAACTGGATTAAAGGACACTTAAAAATGTTTAATGCTACCACTCTTCCTATTCCACCCCAAAAAAGTAAAATTTAATGATCTTTTAGTTAATAACTAAACATTTTGTTTATAATTTTTAAATTTTGATTTAAAAATTATAGTTTTCATATTGACTTTAAATATTTGCAAATTTTCATTTTAATTTAGAATTTAAAATATTTAGTGACAAACTATAGCTTTCTATGGGATAGCATTATAGGATTAGGATAAGGCAATGCAACACATGGGTGATCTGGCAAGAGGAATGCCTCCTAGGAGGACTTTCTTCTATGGGAAATTGGCCCCTATTTAGGTGTTATCATGTGAAGAAAACCCAGAAAACTCTTCATGGCAGCCTATTGGTGAAGTGTGAACCCACAAGCAACTACTAGTGTTTGATAGTTTTATCCTCTTGGCTACTGGTAGGCAGCTTTCTGTAGGGAAGGATACAATGGCATATTTAAAAATATGGCACCTATAGGCCCACAACATGCATGTTCCCTCAAATTAATAGTGCCATTTTTGCACTGAATGCACCTTTCTATTTTATAATTGTAATTCTGCAATAATTGTATTTTTACAAATTTTTAAATATCAAAAAGAGCAAAGGGCACTGCTATTGAAAACTTATCATTAGTACAGTGGAACCCCAGTTAACGAACTTAATCCATTCTGCGACTCCGTTCGTTAACTGAATTGTTCGTTAACCGAAGCAATTTTTCCCATAGAAATTAATGCAAATGCAATTAATCCATTCTAGTCTCCGAAACCTTTGTGATTTTATTTTTAATATACAGTAATTTTCTTTGATGAAAATGTAGGAAAACGTGGTATCTATCATTACAGCAGCAAACATGTAAACTTTGTTTAATAAAATAGCACTGTACATACCTTCGTTTGTTGTAGTTGGTGGCAGAAAAGTGTAGATATATAAACCTTAATGCTTAGAAGGGGAATCTCCTCCAAAAAAATAACGGGTAACACTTCATTGGAAGATTCTTCGAGTCGAAGTCTCTTTCGGTAAAAAAACCCACCAGCGGCTAAGTGGTCTTCGTACCTTGAACACGGGGAGTTCGTTTGTGGGTTCGCAACCTCACTCAGACGGGGAGGGCTGGCCACGTGGAGTTTTCCGGGTTTTCTCCACGTCTGTAACGCCTAAATAGGGCCAGTTTCACTTAAAAACACCTCTCAGAAGGCATTCCCCCTAGGCAGATCACAAAGTGTTGCATTGCCATAACTTAAACTCTTTCTGTAAGGAACAAGAAATTGATCTAAAGTTGATTGTCTTACTCTTTTAATCAAATTTTTCTCAAATGCGATAGCGCATTGTCGTTTATATTGCGTTGTCGTTTTCTATTGCCACTATGACTTTTTTCTTTCTTGGATGCCATATTGATTAAATATATAAATCACAAAACTGAAAAAAGAAGTACAGTATAGCACAAACACTCGGAAAAGTAATGCTTAACTCGCGCATGCCTAACACCAACTAAAATTTGACACAAAATACCGTTACGTTCGTTATCCGAGACAAAATTTTTGCAAAATAAAAGTTCGTTAACCGATTTGGTCGTTAACCAGGACGTTCGTTAACCAGGGTTCCACTGTACTACCATTTTGATCATGCAAAATATATTCATATATTATTATATGATTATCAAACTACTCAGCTGATACATCAGCTTTCAAAAGCTTACTACTTAAGCTTTTGAATTCCTTTCTGAATTATTTCTACAAAAATTATTTTTTCATTATTTTATTGTTGTTGTTGTTGTTATTTTGAATTTTGTACCCCAAAGTCTTGGCCTCTAGGCCCAAGTCTAGTGAGCCTAATGAGGATATTTGTCACTGGAAGAATATGGATTGATATATATTGATCTAAAACTAAACAATACACCACCTTCCTTACAATTTCTAGCAACACTATTAGAAAACAATTAATAAATATTAATTTATTTATAATTAATTATTAAATTTAATAAGAGATAGTGCCTAACATTCCTCTAGGCCAAATTAGTTAGCATTTAATTATTATTAGTAGTAATTAATATAGCCCAATCTAATCCAGTAATCATCTGGCTATAATGTAACTATTTAGCTTAGAGAAATTTATATTTGTAGAAAACAAATGTTTTTTGGTCTCATTTAGGGGTCTGCTTCAGGTTTTATACTATTCCAATTGAACATTCTAACATTTAAAATGACTTTTTTTTTAAATATTATAACATAATTAACAAAATCAAATAAGAGTATGCATAGAACTACATATCAATAATAATTAAAATGAAATTAAAATTGAAATGGTTTACTGCATATTCCAGTTTGGAACACACAGTAAACA